TTCCCACAGCACTTTTTATCTTAAAGCACATTTTTACGTGCGAGGACAGAGGAGCGCTTGCCCATCTCCGTCCTGTGATGGGACACGACAGAGCCCTGAAGCCCCCAGACATCCCCTAGCAGTGTTAGGAGCATTTACTGTGACTGGGCTGGAACGGGGGGTTGGCATTCTCCCACAGGGCAGGAGCAGGTGCCCTGGGTGGGTGCCGGTGTGCCAGTGGTCCCCAGGTCCCCAGGGCACCACTGCCTGTGGGTGCCGTGCTCTGTGCCAGTGACCGTAGGGACAGGACCAGTCAGGACACGGGGCAGGTCTGAGTCGTGGTCCCCTCTGTCCTCGATGATACTTTGGGGTGTGCAGAGCTTCCCCACCTCATCCTACAGCAACAGCCCGAGGTTGGGTCATTTTGGGTGCTCAAGACTAGCCCGTTGAACGCTGGAGGGGTGATAAAGTGATAACAGCCCTGCGTGCCAAAAGCTGGGCTCCTATCACGATGTAGGAGAAACACAATGAAATGAAAAGATTTAAACTACCAGGGAGGGAAATGTGCAGGGGGCCATGCTAAGGTTAGCCAGTGTCACCTGTCACCTCCAGAGGTTAGCATCGTGCCCCCCAAGGAGCCTCTTTGAACTCATGGGTTCAGTGCAGCATCGGGAGACAGAGCCACAATTACCGACCCCATGTCTGGGGCACGATCAGCACCCTGCAGCTCCCGACACTCTTATGTATCGAGGCAGATGGCAAGAGTACTAGGCCAGGATATAAGTTGACATTAGTAAGCATTATTCACCAGCAGGCATTAAAAATTACTTATTTTAACAGAAGAACTCACTGAGCTGAGATAACATTTGGAGACCAGACCGTAAGCTCTGACCAGAAGCAGAATAGGGGTGAGAGTGACAAACCCAGGAGCCGCTGCTCCCCGTTCGCCCCTCTCCTCCCCATCCAGCACAGATGCGCAGCACCGAACCTCCTTGCAGAGCTGCCATCCCAGAGGTGGACCCTGAATGGAGGACACATCTCCCTGATGATGCAGCAGCTTCTTATTTCCACTGGCATGTTCACCACCCATCAAAACAGCGTGTGTTGAGCAGGAGGCTTGGATAATAATCCACTTCAAATTCATTCTCCTGCTCCGGTTAGGATTAATTTCCAGCAGCTCTACCTGAAAACACCAATCGGCACCAGGCTGCAGGGTGTCCCCCCCCTTACTGGTGGCCACCTGGGTCACTGAGGCTCCCACAGAGGAACTGGGGGAAGATGCTGGTGCCTGTTTGGCCATGAACAGGGCAAGAAACAGTCCCATTTGTCTCATATCCAAATTTCCCAACCCACTCAGCGCATTGTGTTACAGGTTTTCACACACTAGATGTCAGCAGAAGAATAAAAACAACGCGGAGAGGTGTCTGGTGCACCAGCCTGAACCTGGCAGATTTCCACCGGGCCACTAAAAATCACATTTGTGCAACCTGACACCAATAAATCCATTTGCTGCAGCAATAACCAGACTGGGCAGGGGGTGGCAGGGAAAAGCCACCCAGAGGAGACCCGGTGCCCCTCGGGGCACCTGCACGAGTCCTGGATGGGCCAAGGTGCAAGCCCAGACTGACCCATCTGCATCAGCAAAACCCTGAGATACTCACAAACCAGCAAAACAGCATTTATTTTGCATGTACGTTTTCGGTGGTGGGGGTTTGGTGGGGGGATGTGCTGCTGGCCCAGGGCCCAGCTTCTCCAGTACAGCCGATTTAACCAACCAGCACTGCTCCCCTGCTTCTCCTGCAGACATCCCTTTGAAGCTGGGGATTACACAACGTGGCCCACAGGTAGGACCTGCCCCTTGCTCCACCAGCAGAAGAATGAACTACAGTATAAAACACCTTTCTGTATACCAGGAGAAACGGTCTCACGGTATCAGCTTTTCTATCTTTATAGTTGTAGCAATAAAATCAGACTGCAGCCATCGCAGCAAAGGGGATTGAATCTGCATGATGAGGAGCCCCAAGGCTCTACTTGCCCTTCCCAAGCTGGGGTGTTACCCTCTCCCAGCAGCTTTTACCCACTTTTTGGACAGGACTGAGAGCTGAGAGGTTTGAGTTCTGTGCTGGCCTCTTTGTACAAGAGCATGAGAATGGATCACCAAGCCCTGGAAAAACCCCTGCCCCTAAAATCTGCCCTCACACCCTACAGATTCAGCTACGTACATTCATTGTTTTCTTCTTCTTGACTTTGGACCACCTGCTCGGTCTGGGCAGCGAGCATCTTACAGCAAACCCTGAAACAGCCTTGTGGGGTTCCTAAACCCAGAGGTGGGTTGCAGCCAAGGGGTCCCCTTCAGGTTATACTGGTGCTTTGAGATCCCCAGTGCTTTGGGGCATTCGTAGTTTTCCTTCTAGACCACACTCTTCCCAATAGCAACTAAACCAACCAGAATGGTATTGCACGTAGGGTACAGGCAGCCTTTCAAAGACAGAGCACCCCAACATCAAATTTGCTCTCCTCCTTCACCCCAAGCCACCTCCATCACTCCGGAAAACATGGGTGGCTACTCACCCCCAAATTCCTCCTCCCAGCTAATGCCCTGGAGATGGATAGGCTCTGTGGGCTCTCCCACCAATACCTCTCCCAGGCAATGGGTCTCCCCTTTCCCAGGGTCTAGGATTTCAGACCCTCCCCATCCGAGCCCAAGGTGTCTCCCCGTGCGCTGACCCTGCAGGACACAGTTCAAAGCCTCCAACAGGAAAAACAGGAAAAGCCGCCCCGGCTCTCTCCGTTGACTTAGTTTCGGTCTAGTTCTTGGTGTCAAAGGAGGTATTCACCTCTGTCTTGACTTGTGGGTCCTACTTGCCGCCTGGTCCTGCTCGGCAGATGCCGGGAGGCCCCCGAGGAAGGACAACCACCGGCACGTTCAGGTGTGGCCCTGTGTCGGGGAGTTGCCGGCGGGGGGCGGCACAGCGAGTTGCCGGCGGGTTCCGTAAATCCCTGCCGGAGCAGGTTTGGGGGCAGTGACACTCTGCCCCGCTCCAGGAGGCAAACTCCGTGTTTTAATTGGGACGTGCAAGGGGAAATATTTCTTCTCCTCTCTGTGACTCAGCACACCCCAGGGAGGCACCGGAGCCCATTAAGCATCTCCCGACCGCCAAGGTAGCAGCGAGCAAACACTGCCAGGCTGCAGGGTGTGAGACGAAACCATCTGCTGGGTTTACAGCCAAGAGATGGTGACTCAGCCCACACAGGGCAGTGATATTTGGGAAGCATGGAGTCTCAGTGTCTGCAGCGCCGGGACAGCCTCCAGCGCCATCGCGTTGGCGGGGCCACGGCAGCATGGGGAGCCCAGGCGCTTGGGCACATCCCTGGCACGTACATGGAGAGCATGGTCCCACCACCACCAGCTTCTGGCTCTGGTGAGGGACAAGGAGGAACCCAAATCCAGGATCCTCCACTCTGCTCCATCCGGCATACGAGGTACCATGCTGCAGTTAGGCAGAAGTTTGGAAACTCCTCCTGCGAGAGGTCTGTCACCATCCAGAGTGCCATGACCACCCATGTCCACCCATGTTTCACCTCCTGGCTTCCTCGCTGTCAGCAGTTACCATCTATTAATCTCCCCCTGGCCCAGCCCTGGCCTCAGGCCAAGAGGTGAGGAGCAGATTTCCATGACATAGAGGAGGCTGCATTTCCCGTTGAGCAGGTTTGTGGCTCTGCTCATCCGCGGGGCATTAGCTGGTGCACCCGGGACAGAGCAGGGCAGCACCCAGGGAGGGGACCCGGCCCGTCTATCATCCCTG